AAGTAAACACTTTATTGTAGTAAGAATTATATAATAGATAAATATATAGATAATACAGAAAGTTGCAAATAATAAAATACAAGTACAAAAGCTGTACTAATTAAGAAATACAAACAAGTTGCAAACAATGAAATACAAGTACTAAGGTGGAACTTAAATAGAGTAAACTTTATTCTACTTTATATACATATATAATTGCACTTATCAGCTCTTCCTATGCATCTAATTGGTTTGTCATAATTTTTCGTCTCCAAAATTAACGAAATGTACTCGATACCAAGTAGTATTGATACTTTTGATACGATACTTGGTATCGAGTAGGTGTCGATACTTTCAAAATATTCGGAACCCTACACTAATTGACGTTTGACATCAATCATTTGTCAAATTTATTTTGTAATTGCGTGTTATTTGCCAATTTGTACGAAAAGTTTAACTCATGAACCGTAAGTTTCCGCAACCTAAAACTTTGCAAAACGCTTTCTTTTAGTGAGTACTACCTACAAAAAATATGGGCTTTGAAATCGATGGTCCATATTGGAAATATTAGCCTAAATAATGCTTATAAAATGGATTGTTCACGTAAATATATAATAAAAAAATTATCAACAGATCTGTAAAGTTTTATTCCGGTACCCCATCATATGACATTGATCCGTGACCATGAACACATTACACCACAGTAATAATAAATAATAATAATTTTCACACTAAACAATGTCATCATCATCATTATCATTACAGCCCTTCACAAGTCCACTGCTAAACATAGGCCTTCCTCAAGTAATGCCACAAGTAACGGTCCTGAGCCACCTGCATCCATCGACTTCCTGTATGTCTTACCAGGTCGTCACTCCATCTAGTGGGGGGGGGGGGTCGCCCTACACTACGCCAACACGATACCACCTCTTTATCTATATAAACTGTTGACATATTATCCCGCTGCTATTCCAATAACTGCCGAATAATAGATTCAACGCCGTAGTTACATAAAATACTGACTGTAGAGACTGCAATTTTATATGTTCAGTAGGTACATGGAATTTGTCGTACGTTACTACCTACGTTTATTTTCAATGTAATAATCGTTGTAAATTTCAATATAATACTTGTTTCTGTTTATTTATTATGTAATATTACTTGTTTAAGTGGTTATACTTCATTACAAAAAGAATTTATTGTATTCTGATAATAATGCAGAGGTCGGCAGCATGAAAATCACTATTATTTATATACATATCATCATCGTCATCATTACAGCCCTTCACAAGTCCACTGCTGAACGTAGGCCTCCCCCAAGCAATGCCACAAAGCACGGTCCTGAGCCACCTGCATCCATCGACTTCCTGCATGTCTTACCAGGTCGTCACTCCATCTAGTGGGGGGTCTACCGGTACGAGGCTGCCACTCGAAAACCTTTCTTCCCCATCGATTATCGGTTCTTCGAGCTATATGGCCGGCCCCTTGCCACTTCAGCTTACTAATCCGTTGGGCTATATCGGTCACTCTGGTTTTACTGGGGATATCCTCATTTCTGAGTCTATCACGCGGAGAAACTCCGAGCATAGCCCTCTCCATAGCTCGCTGAGCGACCTTGAGCGTCCTCATACGGCCAGCAGTGAAGGACCACGTCTCTGATCCGTAAGTTCAGTAGTTTTCAGAGATTGAGGTGTACCTGACGAGAAGATGTGTCGTAATTTCCCGAACGCTGCCCAGCCGAGTTGAATCCGTCGATTGACCTCTCGGTCGAAGTTGGATTTACCTAGTCGGACTATTTGTCCCAGGTAAACGTACTCGTCAACAACTTCGAGCATAGTGCTCCCAACAACTACCGGAATCGGTGTGACATGGACATTAAACATGATCTTTGTTTTGTCCATGTTCATCTTAAGACCTATCCGTTGGGAGACACTATTGAGATCCTTGAGCATAGTCCTAAGGTCCTCCAGCGATTCTGCCATAAGGACTATATCGTCGGCAAATCGAAGGTGAGTGATGTACTCGCCATTGATGTTAATGCCGTATCCATTCCAGTCCAGTAGCTCGAAAACGTCTTCCAACGCAGCGGTGAAGAGTTTCTGGGATATAACGTTACCCTGTCTTACACCTCTCTGCAGTTGGATAGGTTTCGAACTCTGGTTCTATACTCGGATAGCCATCCTAGCCCTACTGTACAAACACTTCAGCACTTCGATATACCGACAGTCAACTTGGCACCGCTGAAGGGACTTTAGAACCACCCAAATTTCGACGGAATCAAAGGCTTTCTCATAGTCCACATACGCCAGGCAAAGTGGCAGATTGTACTCTTCGGTCTTCTGTACAATCTGCCGCAGGGTATGTATGTGGTCTATGGTACTGAAGCCTTTTCGGAAACCGGCTTGTTTGGGAGGCTGGATGTCGTCGAGTCTGCGTGCGAGACGATTCTTAATGACTCCCGAAAACAGCACGTAGACGCGGTTCAGAAGGGAAATCGGTATGTAGTTGTTCAGGAGAACGTTGTCACCTTTCTTAATGAACAAGACCACCGCACTTCTGCTCCACGCCTCCGGAGTTGTGCCACCATGGAGGACGGAATTGAAGAGCTTCTGAAGGACTTCCGAACTTCCGAAGGACCCGCTTTCAGAAGCTCCGCTGTAATTCCATCCTCGCCTGGGGCCCTGCCGTTTTTAAGGTGCTGGAGAGCCTTTCTAATCTCGCTCAGACTGACGTCCGGGATATCATCGGAATAGTGTCGGGTAAAACTTGCTCTTGGATCGTTACTCACACTTGCGTGTGGCTCCAACGATGATGTGTACAGCTGCCAACCTTTAATCTCACTCAAAATCTCAGGTGTCCCGGAAACGATGCTGTCACACTCAGTCTTCAGCTTTGACAGTTGGCTTTTTCTGGCATACAGATCTCTGGCAAAGACTTTGGAGCCCTGGTTCCGCTCGATCGTTTCTTTAATACGAGCAGTTTTAAAGTTGCGTAAGTCTCGCCGCTTGCATTTGAAGATCTGTCTGGTCAGTTGCCTGTATGCTGTCAAATCTGTTGACGATTGCAGCCTCATCTCCCGTCTAACAGCCACGAGATTAAGAGTGTGATCGAAGAGTTTTTGTGTTTTTCTGCGGCGGGTCTTGCAGAACTTAGCTCCGACCGCATGGACAGTTTCCACGAGCTTGTCATTCATATCGTCCACTGCATTGCAATCTTCTAGGCACTGAAAGCGGTTACGTAACTCGAGCTGAAAGGATTAGAGCACGAGGGGGACGTAGCGTTGACTTCATTAGACGAGACCTCTCCAACTTAACGTTTAGGTTCAGTGTGCCTCTAACCATTCGGTGATCGCTGCCGGTTTTCACCCTTGCGATCACTGAGACATCACTAAACGGTTGGCGTCTGGTCGTCATAATGAAGTCAATCTCATTTTTTGTCGAACTGTCGGGGCTCGACCAGGTCCACTTCCTGTGGAGCCGCTTCTGGAAGAAAGAGTTCATCATAAAGAGTCCCTCTTTCTCCATAAAGTCAGCCAGCTGCTGGCCCCTAAGGTTCCGTTGCCCTATTCCAAATTTCCCTAACTTCAGCTCACCGCCTTCTCTTGTGCCTAGTTTGCGTTGAAGTCTCCCATCAACACCGTGTTGTGGGTTTTGGAGGAATGCATGGCTCTAGAAATACCCTCATACATTTCCTCCACCTCCTCATCGGGATGTGCCGAGGTTGGTGCGTAGACCTGTATGACCTTCAGCGAATACCGTTTGGTGATTCTGAGTATCAGGTACGCGACCCTCGTTGACACACTCCCAATCTTTACAACGTTGTTGACGAGAGACTTGTGGACGATAAATCCGACACCTTCTTGGGACAGATGGTCGCCCTCCCGGTGACAGAACAAGTTGCCGGACTCGAGGATTACCGTGTCCTCCCCCTCTCTTCGGACCTCAGATAATCCAATAATATGTCAGCGCAACTTGTCTCCCTCTTCTTCCAGCTCCAGTATCTTCTCGTCAGTCCTCAGGGTGCGTGCGTTATACGTTGCCAGGTCGAGTCGTTGTAGGTGGCAACCGAACCTCCACCGGAGATTCTTAGCGCCCCCTGCCCCGCCGTAACCATGGTCGCCACCGTAGCCAAGAATAGCGGGGCCGCCGAGGACTAGGGGCCGTTTGTTTGCGTCGTTCCTCATGGGGGATATTTGCCATAGTTGCCACGCTTGGCGAGCGGGTTGGCAACCGCAGTTTTTAATTATATTATTGTTGTTATTAGGAAAATGCTGCTGCCCATCTCCTGCCTGTCTCCCTCTGTCGCCTCTTACGACACCCGCGGGAAGATATGGGGTAGAGGATATTCTCATCCGCCACTACACGGCATATATATATATATATATATTACTCGAAATTTTTATGTAAAAAGATAAATTATATTCACACAGAAACACTGTACCTATCTCAGAAAAATCGAAGAAAACAAGGCGGCACTGCACAATAGCAACCACACCCAAATGGCACAGATTGAAAGCTGAATACAAATGTCAAAATCTCGATGTTCAGACGATTTGAGACAAAAATTTAAAAGTATTCTATATGAGCTTTTTAGTGTCTTAGATTTTATAATAATTTATTTTCTTACCCTCCCCACCACTCTGCTTATTATTCGCCGTGTATCGATAATGATACACGTGGCCTACGAAAAAGTTTTGACTCAAAACCATTTTCCGAGGCTACGTGTATCGTTATAGATACACACTAATTTAATTTTTCTTATATATATATACTTGGATATATTTGGAATCTGGAAGTATACTGCGACAAATCCAAGTCCAAAGCATCTGATGTATCGGAGAAAACAGTCATGTCTCTAGCAGAAGGTCTGCTTGATGAAGGTAGGACAATATATACCGATAATTATTACACGAGTGTCCCTCTAGCATATCGATTGAGACACAAAAAGACTCACCTAGTTGGAACCCTAACAGAAAACACCTACCAAAAGATGTTATGTCTATGAAACTGAAAAGGGGAGAAATGTGTGTATTGAGGATGCTGTCTACTAAAACATCTGTGCTCAAGACAGTCACAGTTCAGAACAGGAATGAGCCAGCCATTCTCAAACCGGAGTGCATTGTGGACTACAATAATGGAATCAAATCTTCGATCGATATAAGTGATTCGATGGCAACATATGGCTCAGCTCTTAGGCGATGTACGAAATGGTATCGTAAGCTGTTTATCGAAATGTTGTGGGGAACTTCTCTGGTGTGTGCTCGTTTCCTCTATAATCTAAATACATCAGCAAAGAAAATGACAATCACAGAGTTCCGAGAGCAGGTTATTGTAGATATGATTGACAAGTGTTCTCAGAGAGTAGATATAGCGCCTATACCTTCAACATCATCTTCAAAAAGGAAGGCGCCGAATGTGAAACACTACTTCATAGACAATAAGGTCGGTGAAAAGTTGGTTCGAGGACGCTGTAAAGAGTGTTATAATATGTATGGAAGGGAGGGAAAAATTATAAATGGCAAGTAGGTTAGAGCAGCACAGGTTGGAACGAAGTGCTCCTGTGATTTTACGACGACATTTCTATGCCGAAAATGTTTCAACAAAACTCACTAGAACAGAATACTCATAGAATTTATATTCCTAAGATTTTTTTAAGTTTTTTTTCAAACATGGTTATAAGAGGATTATCGGAAGTTTTTCCTTTTTAAAGATGATTATTAGTTGTAAGAAATATGTTTATAATTTTGTTGTAAGAAATATGTTTATAATTTAGTATTAGTTGTAAGAAATATGTTTATAATAAAATATGTTAAACATAAAACTAGTGCAAAACAATTTTTTTTCCAAATTAAATCTTCAATATCTCAAGAACCATATGTCCTATCCCCAACCCAAAACAACTAAAAAACCTCTCCTGGACCAGAGGATGTTTCAGCAGTAGAAAATGTATAGAAAACGTGTGCATTAGGAATACACAAGGCAAAAACCAAAAGGTAGGCTGTGTATCGTGAGCGATACACAATGTTTTGACAGTGGGTATCATTAACAATACACATGGCGCTGAGCGTGTTAAACTAGAGGATAGATAATTTCATATTGAGCCTATAATGCTAAACTACTTAATAGAAAACTAGTATCTAAACATAAGAATTTATGGGTTAAAGTGCTGTGGGTGTGTGTGGTCGGATCAGACCACTTGGAATTTGACGGAATATCGCCGTGGTTGGATCCGACCGTTTGAGTATCGACTAGTATTGAGAGGTTCCCAAAAAAAAAAAAATACTAACACTTATAAGTTTTGCATTTGGTTTGAATTTGCATTGCATTTGCTTTTCATTAGATAAATGCATATTTATAAATTCATACAGCTTTTTGGAACATTCATTTGTATATTAAAGGCCTATCACTACAATACAATTTTTATATAAACTAAAAATAATCATTTTTTTCACAAGGGGAAAATTGCCATTGATTCAGTTTAAAAAATCGCAAGCCAAAAGCAAAAGTGACGATGAGTTCTAAATGGACTTCACTTTTTCGACTTTTTTAAAATCTTTTCTACACTGCCGAGCGTGGAGTAAATTAGATTGAAATAGTTAACTTTTTCATTTTTTTGCTGGTTTTATTTACTAAACTACTTTGCTACGCCTTTAACGATTCTTAATTTTTAGTCCATTGCCCTTATTGTTACATCTCACAAATAAATTTATTACAAAAACTGAATCATTTTATAACGATTGTTTCATGCATGTACAGTATAACTATTTTAATACAGCGAAATAACATCTGAACATAAATCAAAATAATTAACCTTTTTATTGACTGGTAGTAATTAATAATTATTTGAATTTGCCTTCGGCTATTTACAGGAGAGGGCAGTTCTCAGGGTGTCTCCCTATGTTAAATTCACAATGAAGTTATTATTCATAACAGAAAAGAGTAACTTAGTGAACAGTTTACTGATCATATTACGAGTAGTAAGTAATTATTGATAGAACAAGTGTATTAACACATTAATGTGTCACGTGGTGTCGTACGAGTCGACAGAGGAAACAGAACAGTGACAGCAGCATTTTCCTGATAACAATAAACAAATAACAATAATATGTAAATGGGGCGCTGCACTCTATTGAGAAGAGTCAAAATGTGTCGAAAAAGGCACGTAGGCAATTCACAATGCTGTGTTGGTCCCTACTTTAACGTATGGTAGTGAAAGTTGGGTGTGGCAGAAGAAGCACGAGAGTAGAATGAACGCAGTAGAAATGCAGTCGTTAAGGAGAACGTTGGGGCTACATCTGAATGACAGGGTGAGAAATTGCGTAATAAGAGAAGAGTGTGGTTTGCAAGATGATGTTGGGACCAGGATTAAGAAAGGAATGCTTCGGTAGTTCGGTCATGTGGAAAGAATGAATGAGGAAAGAGTGACAAAGAAAATTTATGTTGCAGAAGTGAATGACAGAGTCGGAAAGGGACGTCCTAGGCGAAAATTTATCGACCAAATTGGCGATTTATTGAAAACGGGCCAAATTAGAAGTACGCTTAACCGACGAGCATGTATGCGTAGGTGAATGGATGTGAAGGAGGCGAGAGAGGTGTGTCAGGATCGAGCCAAATGGAAGTCTGTAGTCTCAGCCTACCCCTCTGGGTGACAGGCGTGAGTGTTTATGTATGTGACAATAATAGTTATTTTTGAACATTTTTTTTTAATTTTAAAAAGAAAAAAACGCACGAAATAAAAAAAATATTTTATATTGACTTCTTATATTTACGCGAACACTACACATTGAAATAATACTAGTTTTTTACGGAATTTATCGCGTATATTTATCTTTTTAATTACCCGACGTTTCGAGAGCTTTACAGCACATGGTCACGGGAAGGACTGAGATGTTCAACGTCCAGCTGTCATAGTTAACCGCGGTTACCATAGATTAAAATTTAACTTTTGTTCCGATCTACACAGTATGAACTTATGGTATCATGGAGTCTTGCAGTTGTATGCTTGGGTTGGGATTTAATTTTATTTATTATAGGATCCCAAGTAATTAAAAAGTTAAATATACGCGATAAATTCCGTAAAAAAACTAGTATTATTTCAAAATATTTTATATCAAATAAAATACTTTATTTCTATACTAAAATAATGTAATGCAAATTTTTCGTGTTCAGTCTGATATCGACATATTATAAAAATAAAGCGTTAGTGACATGAAACCGATAACTTGTAAAATTTTTTGCGGCATCACAGTGACGTCGGTATCAATCCGTGAATTGCAACAGGGATGTACTACTTCTGCAGTTGACAAAACAAAAAAAAAATCGAGGCATTTAGTTACGTCCGCATCGTTCAATTTCACAAGTGGCTTGTTTTATTTTTCATTGCATTTGCAAAGCTTGATAACATTTTTTTAAAATTAATAACCCCTCACCTGATACGCGCGCCGAGCACTGCAGGGCGTAACTTGATACGGCACTCGAGCCGTGGCCGCGCCGTTTGTTAAGTGTTCCACTTTATTGGTTTTTTTGGCCTTTCCCTTTATAAATATCCCACACATTATATATAGTTGGATTTGTGGATAAATTATCTACAAATGATATTACTTTCAATAAAAAATATTGTACTATAATCAAATAGTATGCAAGTGAAAGTGAAAAAGGTTTATTTCTGACTTTCCTATCGAATAAAAACAAAATTAATCAACTTATAGATTTTATTTTGCATTTTATTTAACCTCTTATTATATAGTAATACAAATATTTAAAAACATTTACATGTTTTATAGTGAAATGTCAAGAAAAACAATAATTTCCGCATACAGATATTTTTGGCCGCGTAAAAACATCTCTAAAATAGCTCAACATTGTCCTTTCCATTGTCCCTTTGAATGATAACTTAATGAATTAAATCTAAGTAGTGTATATATTTTTGAAAAGATTATTTCATGGTTAAAGGAATAGGTTTACAATTAGGACACAACACTGTGTTTATTTCGTACAGTAGGTAAAATCTCAAACCCTTCGCTTTGGCGGTGGGAAGAACGACCTTTAAAACTACGCTCTTAAGAAATAAACAAAGCCAAAACACGAAACAATGTACTTTTATTCTAAAATCACATGAGATATCCTTTCTATATAACACAAAAAAAACACTGAACACTATTATAAAAAAGTATAAAAAAGTTGCTTGCTTGCGTGCTTGATACCAGTCATAATATGACCGGTCAGTCCCAGCAGTACAGTTGCCGTAAAATATTCAAATTAAAATGAATTTAAGGAATTCTGCATATAACTACTGTTTGTTTACGTAATTATTCACTCAAAACAACAAAAACATTTCCAACAAATCAAGAATTATTATGTAAAATATAAATAAATATGTCGGCGTACCGGCGAATTGATGGTAGTAATCAATGGAAATATTTGTTTACCCTGAATTACAGGCACGAATATGTATAACTTTGAGTTAAAACGAAAAAACACTTGCCTTGGCATGTGTGGTGTGATGTTAACATAATTTAATAAGACACACTATCACAATATCACAAAAAAATAATTCGGAAGCGCTTCACGCACACCACGAAACTACGTCCTCGAAAAGATTATACAAACATATTTTTTTTCTTAAAGGAAGTCTGTTCTCACTGACTTAAATTAATAAGCACAGCATATAGAGCCATACTGCCGTATTCACACGATCCAAAACATCAATTGGTTTAACAAAACAGACTTGAATTCGGAGCTTGCGACACGGTCATAATATGACCGGTATCAAGTAAGGGCTTACATTTTGCGGTCATATTATGACCGATATCAGGTGAGGGGTTAACGAATTTACCGTATAGCGGCGTTATAAGGATATCCACTAAAAATAAAAATGAAACTATGGTTGCCAATCCACTTGTCAAGCAAATCAAATCAAATCTGAGATGTAAGGAATAGATATAAGCATATTACATATAAACATATACACAATATAACCTAATTGTAACTATTTAAGGATTGATTATTGCAAATATATTCAGTATCTACTCAGCAGTCTTGGCTTTCATTTCTCTCTCGTGCCACAACATTACAAATCCCTGAACTTCGTATTCCAGTGTAACGACGCCAGGCCTTTCTTCCACATCAGTTCTTTGTTCGTCTTTACACAATATAGAATTTATTTATTTATTTTCATTTATTTTATTCTAACTACTGATAAATAAACTATGCATATATGATCTATCCTTACATATATACAAATATATAAATAAATGGATATATATACAAGTATACATATTTAAATACATATAATTAGTAGGTATATACAAATGACTATGAATATATACGTCTGTTTGGCAATACATATTAAAATAGATGAGTCATGTAAAATTGATCACGGACTAACTTTTTAAAAGCGTACTTATTGGGAGCTTTTCTGATGTCATCGGGCTAGGAGTTCCAAAGGCGTGTAGCCTGAACTGTGAAGGAGTTGCCATAGAACTCGGTGAAGTGAACTGGAGTACAGATTTTGTTGTTAGAAGGAG